GGNGGGGGGGGGGAGGGGGCGCAACTTTACACAGCCCGCAGACGAACGTAAAAATAAATATTTCCATGCGAGTGGAGATCAAACTTTATCCCTCTCCAAACTCATTGCCGGGCAGAAACGTCGCGTGATGACGTCAGCGTGACTCACATCCCTTGCTCTATCTGGCAAATTTCATACCCAATATGTCATATTGACCAAATTGACATCATTCTGACTTTTTCTTCTCCTTGGAATATTTATATGACAATTATTGCTACAAACGCTGCACGTGTGTACTCGCGGAGAAAATGTTACAGTCGAAAAGATGCGATCAAATTTGAAATGCAACACATGCATGTATAATACGCTTCGACTTGGAGAGAACCGGAAAGCTAATTTCTATCAGGTGCGATCGAGAGGAACAGATCGGAACTCCACTCCGTATCGTTGCGAAAGTCGGGATGGGGGGGGGGGGGAGATTTCGCTCGCTGTTCTCGTCCTATTACTTTTTCGTAAGGAATTCCGAATTTCTATCACGCTGGTCGATCGCCGGGGGGAGGGGGGGGGGGGAAATCAATATCCCGCGGATGTACTCTTGACGCTCTCCGCGCGTTGTCTCGCGTCAAGTGCAGAGAAGGCGGGAAGGTGCAGCTGGAACGAACAGACGGTTCGCGGATATATCTCGTGTCGAGTTCGAGTACACAACGGGCGAGTGGAGACCATAACCGTGATCGAGCGTCGATATGTGAACGTGACGGTGGCCTCCGTCGCTGAGAGGACAGGAGAGAACTGGAGAGAGAGGCCGGGACCGGGAACACCGCGTTTACGGCGTTTACGCGCGCCGGCCGCCGAGTTCGTTCCGAGTCGACGGGGAGAGAAGGAGGGAGATGCGCTCCGCGGGCAGCTAGGCAGCCTAGGGTTACGAAACTGCGATGCGCGAGTCGTATTTTTCCACGACTTTTATGACGCGGTCTGACGAATCGTCCAGCTCGCGTCGTGCCGCCAATGCCGCCGAAAGCTGCGACGCAAGCTACCGTCGTAAGGATCGTTTCGCAAAACGCGCCTCTCTCTCTCTCCAATTCCTTCAATTCAATCTACCTTGCGTAGGAGGCGAAACTGCGTTACGCGCCTACTTGAAATACTCGTCGTTAGGATTACATTCGTCTTTCCACTCGATTATGTAAACACGCAACTATCTCCCTTGCTGCACAATTGACCCAGTTTCCTCTTCAGTCGCAGGAGAAGGCGTAACAGTGATGGAAGAGCCACAAACTCCGGGATCGGATTGCAATTCTAACCTGGCGACGGATTCTATCCAGCAGGATCTGGTCGGCTCGGAGTTTGTTCAGGACAATGTTGAGTATCAATGGTTTATCGATTACGGGTGAGTAAGTCGGCACAACTCGGCCCATTTCGCCAATATTATTCTACCCTGACGCATACCTAACTTGTAGATATAGAGATGGAGGACTACACATCCATCCCAGTGTTCTTTCGTCGCTTTCCGCGTCCTATACTCCCAAGGATCTGGGTTATTATGACGACCTTGCTCGTAATTTGGACGCTAATCTGGCAGAGATCGACATGGAGAGCTTTCGTACGGCGGACATTCATACCCTCCTTACGGCTCTGCCTGTCATGTGCACGGAACCAGTTCAACATTCCGAAGTAAACACTCGACACAGTATAGATTGTAACAACCCTTACTATTGCAAATTCAAAGCCGTACGTAAACTGACGGACGCCAAATCTGTATCGAAATACGTGTCAAATTGTTAAACGATCCATTTCACACTCGTGCCATCGCGAGCTTGCGCCAGTTTACACCAAGCTTTGTATCAAGATAGGACATCAATCTGACGGTTTCGCGCATTTTCGCCTTGTTTTATTTAAAATTTTTTATATAATCCAAGTCTGGTATGTTCCATTATCGCCACAGTTTAACTATCAAAGGGAACAGTATGCCAGTATATCTGGATCTGTCATGGAAAAGCTTGACATCGGTTCCTCCATCAGCCCCCATACTAGTAGCCAGGTATGACAACGGCTGACGAAACACAAACCCAATTGCTAGAAACAGTGTTCCCCGTACATTTGATGCTCAACCAATCTTACTAACAGTCCTACGTTCGCTTTGTACTTTTACCATTTGCATGGACACAAATATATTGTTAAAATGAAATTCTAATAGTGGTAACAAGACTCTTGATACTCCAAATGCGTAATCTTGTTTAATGTTCATTGAAACTTTGACTAGTACCACATAGATGTGATGAGAAAAAAAAACCGAGTTTATTCACGTATCAATTGCATATTACTATTCAAAGGGAGAGGATTCCGCATGTTCCACCGCCGATACGATATCCATATGCAAGTCGTCGTTGCTGTTTTCTCCAGTAAAAGAGACGCCGATGCTACCACCGGGTGGTAGCTACAGCGTAGATTCGCTCGACTGCGAGGATATGTTGCTCACCTGTCAAACGAATAATAAAAACAACTATACCATCGCTTTTGAGGGCAGCATGACTATGTACTCGGATGGCTCTCAAGATTTTGAAAATCATGGTAACGTATAAGGCTAACGCACCCCCCTCTACTTCTTTTTTCTTCACTTCTTTCAATCGTCCGTCTCGCTATTATTTTCAGATAAACACAAGACGTATGAATCACCAGATGTATTTTACGATAAACCGAAAGACATGCAAGCTGTGCTGGATTTATCAATGGCATGCTCAGACTCAAAGATATACACGACGTGGAGTAATCTGAAACACTCCTCCATGAACAAAGTAATAACTCGTCATCCTTCCGGGAACAATAACACGATACCAGACATCTCCCAATGTGCTGCTAATCTGACGCTCGGTGGGATGAATAAACGGAGCCAGAGCTTACCGGACCTCTCTCGCGTTCGTCAATTCCAGCACACTAATATACCTCTTAATTTTAGCGTAAGCGCAGATACAGATCAATTTACTTGTGCGACTTGTAATACTCGCACTTGGCGTGATTATACACATTGTATTTGTGCAGGTTGATTCCGCTGAATCGAGCAACCATATGCAGCGGTTGCATAGCTCCGGATCTGCGATGAGTCGCTCGACGAATGCGGAAAGTTCGGACAACGGAGAAAATGCTGGTACAAAGAAGCTGCAAAATTTAAGCCTCGTCAGACTGTTTATGAAGCAAAAGAGCATGAGCGTGGAGGGAATGAGTCTTACCTTGGATCAGTCGGATTCCGTTAGTGACAACAGCGGCTGGCCCACTAGCAACAGTGGCAGCGATACCGCGACCAACACCAACACGCAGATACAACGGCAAAATGGTCAAGATAATATTTGTGATCGTCGCGTGCTCGAAAACGACTTCTCTATAAATTGGATCAAGCGCGACGTGACTAACAATTGTGATATGGAAAGTCAGGGAGACAGCTTCAACGTTTTAAGGCGTGCGACACGAAATAAACATGACAAGATCGAAATGGCGTCGTCCGCGTCGGTGGAGGAACTTTCGGAGAGTATGCCCAGGTCGGGCTGCGCGAGCGATCAACGGAGCTTCGATATCAACGATTCGTTCGAGCAGAAGAACGGCTGGGCAGCCGGCTTGACGGAGAGGAAGTACCCGATCTGTCGAACAACGGGAATACAAGCGAACGCGGAAATGGAGGACAACGCGGTTCAAACTTCCCTAATTTTTACCGCGCCGAAGGAAAAGCACGGTCCCCTCCTGCAGGAAACGACAGTTAACAAGAAGCCTGTGTACATTGTGTATCCCAATTATACGTTGCCCGATCTGTCGTTTCTTAAGGTCAAGGACACCAAGATGGACAACATTGCGTTGAAACCACATACATTTGACAGAAACAAGATGGAATGGAAACGTACCGTCCGTTCGGGTAGACCATTTTCCTGTAACGATATCGATGCTCTACGGCAACGCGGATTCGCGCACGTAAAGGATTGGGAGTCGCTGACGTTCCTTCTGCCGCACGAATACAAAAAGATTCTGCACGATGTGCCGGAAGTATCGAGATACATTAATATCAATGAGGAAGTTAAGCGGCCCCTATTCTGCCTGTCCCCGCCGATGCGCCACAAGACACGACCGATCAGCGAAATTATACCGAATAATACTTCGTCGACAAGCAGCACCGCGACGCAGCCATCTTCCGGCTACAGAGGCTCGTCGACGATTTTAACCGACTCCTCGACAAATCAGCAGCCCTTGTCCAACAATGCGATCAATCCGCTGTATTTGTATCGTTACGACAGTATTAGTTCGGAGGCCAGTTTAGTGAATAACGACAAGAAAATGCACAGACTCCATCAAGCGAGGCAGGTCTATCCGTCTCTTCCGAAACGATCCGTATCGTTGCCGCAAGGCGAGGGTGAATCTGATTTCAATAATGGCAGAGTACCGCCGCGACCACCGTTACCGAGGAGCATCTTGCGAAAAAACAAGGTTGTCGCGAATAAACGATACAGCATGTTTGAGATGGGAGACGTGGGCGAACAATCGGAAGAACAATCTGTGGAAGTGAACAAGAGAATGTCCTTGCAAGAGCCATACTATATGAACAACGATTTGCAGCTCTTGTGTCGCGAAAGAACGATCGATTCGGAGAAGGACGTCGACGAGACAGAAGCGGAGAGATATCTTAAAGGTAAGCGTCTCAATCATTTGGTATTTACTCAGATTGTTTTTTGTATACCAATTGCTTTTGATTCTCGACGTATATTCAACACGCTCGGTAATTATTGCAGAGAAATTAAACGACATTACGAATAACGCGAATGTGGAATCGGAAACTTCTCAACACAGCGACGATGACATCAAGCAATTGGAAGAATATTTGAAACGTAGTGCAATCTCGTCGCAAAGTAGCGACGGAGATATCGACAATGCCGAAGTTAAAGTGAGATCGTACGTAAGAAAATTTTTAGCTTTGAAAATGAACAAGGATCTACTCGTTAGAAATAGCGATATGGGAGAATCGCAAAGAAAAACGGTCAGTTTTGCCGTACACCAAAGAAAAAAGCACCTGGACGCTAAGGTAAGCCACTAGATTAATTTCAACGTACGAGCGGATTTCTCATTCTTTACTTTGTATTTCAGCTGAATAACCTGAATGTCGTCGTAAACGAACAAAGCCATGATGAGCCAGCCGAGGACAGATTAACAGAGCTGGAAGAGAAAAAAAGTATACGCGTTTTATTCATTATCTCACTATCGAGTGAATATATTTTGAAATCCTTAATGTGGTGTGTTCTTTCCAGAAATGGTGTCGTCTGTAAATAAAGCGGTAGACCTTTTATTAAAGTACTGGAATGCCGACTTCAATCACAGTCGTCCCAATTATAGCGAAAGAAACGAGTGCGCTCAAATTTGTCTGAGTAATTTATGCCCGGCTTTATACGCTATTATGTCGGATGGTTTAAAACCCCATTTGAATTCTACCTTTGGACCAATTACCAATAGTGTTTGGCAGGTCGTCGAAGCTAGTTCTCAACAAGGACCCCTTACGAAGACGTTAAATGAATTAGTGCAAAGAATCAACGGCGAAGATGTTATTACAGAGGGAATGTTAAAGTTCCACGCATTTGTATTCGGCTTGCTAAAGTAAGTTAGAATTGCTAATCTTTTTCAATATATGTACATACGTACTGTCCAAAATTTCCTTACATTTCATTAATATTTGTTGGGTAATCTCTATCCGATTTAACGAATTAACTTCTATTTCGTTGTTCTCTAGCCTAAGAGCTCTGGATGCATGGTTTGCGTATTTGTGTACACGTGAATCAATTTTACGGAAACATTACAACAACAATAGCTTATTCGTCGCGGCTCTGGCCAATGCCAATGTCCGAGAAATCGTCGATTCGTTGTTATACATCCTGAATCCACTTGCATTTTGTCCATTTCACTTGGATCTTCTCTATCAGTATCGTCAATTGCAAAATAGTTTTGGGAATATAAATAATCATACAGTGAACGTAAGTAAACAGAACCTGTCGTTTCATTTCTTTTACATGTGTATTATTGCACACGCTCATTCCATGATTTTCCATGTAGGCTATGAGCTTTAGAAACGCCGATCTGACCATGAAAGATCGCGAGAGCGAGGAAACGGAATCTTGCGGAGTGGTTCCAAGTCCGAAGAAGACACGACCAAGATCTTGCATTGCTTACAACATGGACGATAAATGCAGCCTCATGCATAAAGGTGATCTTCAGAACGCAAAGAAACGTTTCAGTGCCATAAATCCGAAGGCGTTTTACGCGTTGGATAAATTAACTTCCGAGGATTCTGAAGATTACACGGACAGTCTGGAACATTCCCCTCTAAATAAGAGAGCGAGCAAGCAGCCACAATCTAAACTTTTTAATCCTGATACTAAACCGAATGACGACGATGGTCTCTCTGCCGAAACGAAATTCAAAAAACTGCAGGAAAAATGGGAATTGATGATTGGTAAGGAAGGTAGCAAGGGCCAACCCGCCGTAATGACTCCCTCCTCGCCGGTTCGGACATTCGGAGCGTTAGGGAAATCAAAGATACCTAGATTGCTCACATCACCAGTGAAGCAGTCCAATGTTGCGGCGAATACCGTCGGGAAGTCATCAAAATCAGCCGTATCGGGAATCTCTTCGGGATTGAAGAAACCCGCTAGCCTTCCTACACCAAAGACTACCGTGAAGAAACCTATGGATACGAAAGCGAAAGATGCGACGCGTCGTACAAGCCGCGTCGATCAGGATACTCTAGGTGTGACGCGAGCTCACACTGCACGCCCGAGTTCCTTACCATATAAATCGCACGGCGTAACGTCCAACGACAAGAATCTAATCTCGCCTCACAGACGAGCCGTTTCGACCTCTTTACCGCGACCAACCGTTACCACCGTATCGAGGACATCAGTTGCGAAACATCCACACAAGTAAGTACGGATGTTTCACGAGCATGTACCATTTTCTACAATTTATTACCGTTTCCTTTGGCCTTTTGTATTGGTTGCAAATATTATTCATTTATGCGAGCTATGTCACAAGCTATAAATACATCAAGTCAACTAATGTAACTTTCGTTTACACTGCGCTTTTCTACCTTTGGTTCTGCTTTGTACTTTAGCTCTTTTCTTTCTTTCTTTCTCTCTTTAGATCCGTACGATAACGGTTCGCGCGTCTCGATTGCAGAGAAGTCCGTACCCTCACTCATAGGATACCGTCAGACACCGGTCACCTCTCATTCGCGGAGGGGGAGAGACTGAAAGTAATATTAGAGGTGGATAATAAATGGTTATTGTGCGCGAAAGGTGATCGAAGAGGTTTGGTACCACGAGCATGTGTACGCAGTGTGCAAACATAGCCCCTCCTCTCGACTACTCTTCACAATCGCAATTATAACCGTGGCCCCACGCAGCAGCCGTAATTGTAATCTCACCCTCGGAAGTGGAACGAAGAACGGGAGAGAGAGAGAGAGGACGAGCTGAAAAGTTCAAATCATCTAAATATCCCAGGACGACACAAGTGATGTACAGTGTATTAAAATTGTTTTTAAGCCGTACGATATAATACGCATTATCACGCGCTTGTAAAGTTACTTTTAATCGAGAACACTTAATTCTTATTGAGATGCGACAGTAGTATTATCGCTAGCGGCGCCATCGAAGACATAGAGATATCACCTAGTCATAGGCTCTTTTTTTAGACGACGTTATATTTATTTATTTAGATCCGTTTACTTTAGAACGATGTACAAACGCGGGGATACAAACGACGATTCGACATATATCCTCGACGAGTAAAAAGCCGAAAACAGTGTGTACGAATCTACACATATGAATGTGTGTGTAACTGTGATCATAGTAAATAGGCGTTTAAGTTTATTAGTGCGAACGCGCGGTGTATATTTCGTTCTGATGTTTAAGATACTCTGTGACTTTGTAATTTATTTGTCTATACTTTTCGCGTCAACGATTCGTTATTTTGATTTTATTTAATGGTGCCATTCACGGCATACACCTTTACGATGGCGGCGATCACATTTTTTACATGCTTCATGTGTATTTCCTGATACATATATATTATATATATACATATATATATATGTTAAGATATATGACATAATCAAATAAAGTCTGTTGTGAATTATATTTATCACATTTATCAGTTACATTTAACACAACCTAATGCAAATGCACTGTACGGAATATAATGACCGTGATAATAATTTTCGCCACAAAAGCTTCCTCTTCTAATAAAGAAAATTTCTTGACGTAAACGGTTCGTCATTGCATAATAAATTTTCGGAGAAAAAGAAATGTTTAAACAGTCAGTTGTCACAGAAACACTTGTTCACACTTCTTGACATCTGCTTAAGATCTCAAGGGGGTAATTCTCTTAACTGGGTCAAAAATAACTGTACACGTTAAATCTAAAAATTGTGAGTCATCGACTCAGTTGGCTCGCAAAATTCTCGCGGCAGCTTAGAATGAAAAAAAAAGTTAGACAACATAAAGTGGCTCTCTTCGATATAAAAATCACGGAGAAGGATAAGGGCCGGTAAGAGGGAGAATGCTCTTGTTACGTAAATATTTAGACAGATTCTTTAATCGTTATCTCTACGATCGTTATCGAAATAATCATTGGTATTCTACCAAGACATTGTATATAAAACGGCGCAATTAATATCGCTTGTCAGTCAGCCGATTTTTGGTGTGAATTCGAGCGACATCCTGGTGATATCGATAAGCAATCATGAGGATCACCACGGCATTATCCCTTTTGGCTGCACTTTGTACCGTAAGTTCTTTATTGAAAAACAATTAGTTAAATTAACAGATGCAACAGTTTTGGATCTTGTTTGTGCAGAATCTTAATTTCGAAGCATTTTCGTAGCATAGTTGGTAATATTTAATAAAATTGATTGTTACTATATCAAACGACCAAGATGATCGTAAAGGAATGTTTGCTAAGAAAAAACGTTTATATTGTTTTCTTTATCGAAATATTAAAATTTTATTTGATCTTTTCGTCTAATATCTAGTTACCGATTAACTCAAATATTTATTTAATTAAACATTAATTAAAATTGATGAAAATTGCAGTCGAAATGATGCACTCATAATTTTGATCCTTATCCCGCCTGCAATTTTAGGTCGGGGCTATTCCAGTGTCAACTAACTTGGAAATTCTGAGGATTCAAGTGAGGAACGTGAAATGGAACGTAGAAACTACAATACGCCGTCTTGAGCTACTCCGTACTCAGACCGAGGAAGATACCCTCTGGCAAGTCTCGTTAAAATGGAATGAAGAACAGGACAGCCATAGAGCATATAAAACTTTATTACTTGCTGGGATAAGAGTAAGTAATAATTAATATGAAAATTGCCAAATACGGTCAACTGAATTTCATGTTGTTAATTTTTGCTGGCGACCCTGAAAATTTTCCTGTGAGTTTAAGTAATAATTATTCAATCAAATTGAATAAGTTGTCAGAAATATATTGACTAAGTCTTCGAAATTATATTTCTGTATTCTAATCTCAAATTACTCGTACGTACGTATTTATATTTATTATAATTAGAGCTTCAAAATTGTTTCGTTAGTGCGTTAGTCGAGTATTGCTGACAATCAAATATACTGTTTATAATATTATAATAATTGTACACGAATAATCGTGTAACGATATCATTGTGAGATTATATTAAAGCGTCATATATAAAATGTTACTATACCGAAAATTACGTATAAGCATTTCTTTAAAATTTTTTTTTTCACGTCAGAACCAATCTCAAGTTTGTCTAAAAATCAGTGAATCATACGATTATATACAAGATCAGAGATACACGTAAAATTCCGTGCATGATAATCGTTTGATGACTTTGACAGTTGATAAAATATACAGACACGTAATACAATAGTTCATGTGCTATATCAAGGATTTATTTATCTTTAGAAAGTAGTAGACGCCGCTAAGGCGGAGGGCAAAAACGTGGACTCGTGCTACGAAGAGGCCGTCGACGCTACCGCAGCTAATGAGCAAACAGCGGATGACGAAGCTACAAAGTGTGAAGGTATCGCTCAACATTCCATCCATAACAATCTTGGTTTTATCGACAATCTTATCTCGGTATGTTTTCAAGACAATTACATCTATATATTGCAATCGATTCATTGTAATTAGGTCTGACATCCTAATCTAAAAGTTTATTTTCCCTCCCCACAGACCGGACAGGCGCTGGTGATCGATTTGGATAATATCTTCCTGAATTGTCACGACAGTGACATTTCCAGAATGGAGATCTGCGTCATCAGCGATTTGGTGAGATTAGAGGGCAACTTGAGGACCTTGGAAAGCGACAGCATTACCGCAGAGATCACTATTATGCCCGTGTCCAAGAACGTCATTATGCAAGCTAGCAACTGCATAAAACATGCATATTCTGTCGCAATTTCGGCAGGAGATGCGACCAGAATGAGAGCCACTCAATGCATCGAACAAGCGAATACAACCCCCACCACGACAACTACAACCCCCTCGACAACTCCCTCGACAACTCCCTCGACAACCCCCTCGACAACCCCCTCGACAACCCCCTCGACAACCCCCTCGACAACCCCCTCGACAACCCCTTCGACAACCCCTTCGACAACCCCTTCGACAACAGTGAAGTCTACGACAAAGATCCCATTTTAAAGTCCCATAACTTTAACGTCACTGCAATTTGCCAATCACGACTATTCTTCGTTGAAAATAATTCTCGAGAGGGATTGGAATGTCCCACAATTGGCATCATTTTGGGGGGAAAAAGCATCGTCACGACATTACGCGATACTCTACATGTAAAACTAGCGTAGTTCGTAGTCTGTTCCGGATTCCATGGTATTTTTCGAAAGAGTAATTCTGTATGTAAAGTGAAAGAAGTAAAAAAAATATTTGTAAAACGACAATTATTTGAACTCCTTGCTGTACCTTATTCATACGCTTGCAATTTACCTTCATCACGCGTACGTTTCGCACAAGGTCGCAAAATTAGATGCGATAAGCCAAGTCTTATCTTTATACAAATCTGAATCTTAACAAGCGTTATATTTTTCACCAAATTTGATTATCTAATCTATCGCGCGATTTACGTAGGAGTATGATAATAAGTAGTACCAACGATCACACGTCTCGAACTTGGTATTCTTTAGAACGTTAGTTTTAGGATTAAGAAAGACATGTTCTATAATCTTCATAATGATCAAATAAACTAAATAATTAGACTTTTAAAAATTCAAACAGGGCTACTATTTAGTGATTAAAAGAACTTTAATCGCGTTTGCAAGGATATCTACACACTTCTGACTTGGTATAATCTTCGAGATCGGACATTCTTAGACATTGATTATTAAGCAGGGATTGCTTATCTTCTCCCCTCTCTCCCTACCCACCTCTCGGAGCTTGTCAAAATGTTTTTTTTTCATCATACCTTATATATAAAAAGGCGCAATTAATGTAATACTTATCAGTTGGTCGAATTCTCGTGTCAACAGAGCCACTCCCAAGTGATACCAATAAGCAAGAATGAGAATCGTCGTAGCGGCGCTGTGCTTTTCGGCTGTACTTTGTACCGTAAGTTCCTATCTTTTCTTTACGAGAAAAGATCGTGAAAATGATGAGAAGATAGTCAAAGGATGATGGTATTTGTACAATAATGTAGTTAAACACGTAATACCAGTTTTAATATGAACAGAACGTTTACTGAAATATTCTGAATCGCTCTTTTTTTCAAGTGCGAATAAATTTGCGTTTTTTTATCGTTTTGTACAGTACTCTTATCGACTAAACTTGAACGTTAATCCAAATCGACCAGAACAGCAAGAATACCTATGCGGCGATTGATCACTTTCGTCAGTACAGTACGTTTACTTTCTACTTAGGTCTACGCTCCCGTTCCACCAAAAGATGATTTGGACGACGTAAAATTAGAAATATTAACCGCGAAACAGAGCGTGGAGCGTACTATACAGCAAATTAAACGTGTCTTTACTGATACTAAAGAGGATACCATGCTGACAATCATGAAAAGATGGTGGGAACAAATGGATACTTACAGAAATTACATTAATCTAATGATCGAATCGATGCGCGTGAGTATTAATTACAACTTTAACTTGGAAATTTAGCGAAAAATTTGCCAAATAATTACTTGTCATTATTTCTATATTTTAGAGGGAAGTACATAACGCCAAGTTATATAAAGGTGTAGATGCGCAATACTGCTTCGATACAAATTCCGGTGCCATAAACGAGCATACTGACGTAGCGTACAAAACTGCTGTCACATGTCAAGAAAAAGGTGGAAAGTCCATTGAGAGCAGCCTGAGCTTTCTCGATAGCCTCGTGTCGGTAAGTTTTCATTGTCCTTATTTTATGATGCTATTCTTTATTTGAATCTCTTTGCGTCCACCACAGCTTGGAGAGGGGCTGATAAAAGAATTGGATCATATCTTCCTGAATTGCCACGATGACGATCCTGTAAAAAACAAGAGCTGCATCCTCGATGAGTTCACGAGAATCAATACTGCCGTGAAGGAGTTTGAGGAGGACGCCAATAAAATCGAGTATAGCGCATTACCAGCGTCCAACTACGTCGTTCTGCAAGCCACCCAATGTCTGACCAACGCTTACTTGTTAGCGCGCTTCGAAAGTCAAGGTGCAATGGCATCCCACTCCAGATGTGTTCGAGACGCCATAGATAGAAGTAGTTCGGGTGTTTAAGAGAGACTAGTACGTTTATCGATTACAATTTATGTACATCGAAATGACACTCGAGAGAAAACGAAATGCATCCTAAGAAATCAAGATAATCAATTTGCCAAAGATGCAGTTATGTAATTATGCGTATCGAAACAAAACTTTACTTGTTAATGGTATGCTTCTCGGAAACTCTAAATCTAGAGCTTTATATGACGTATTCTAAAAGATATTTTTTTATGTATATGATATACTCACGAAAAATAAACATTGTAATTAAACAATTATTGAACAGTTTGTCGATATTTGCAAGTTAATTCACCTAGGTAGCAATAGTGCCCATTTGGTGTCTATAAGTTATCGCTTTAAGGTTGCCTTTAGGATTTTACTATAAGATAACCAATGTATGTCTTAAAATTGGTATCTATTTTACCTGTTGTCTTAAAGGTGTCTTTTTTATAATATCTTAACAAAGAAAAAGACTATTATCTGAAAATTATCATATTAGTTGATCTGATAGATATCTATTTTAAGACATCAAAAAGTTATCAATTTATTACACCAAATGGGCACTATTGCTACCCGGGAAATTTCCTCACTCGCGACTGTCACTCATCGCGTACGTGTTTCGAGCAAATTCTTAAAATTGTTTATGATATCTCATCTTATCAACATCTCTGCTATCTCTTGGATAAAATTTAATGGCTTGTCGAAATAAAACTAATACTATGATATTCCATTAAGATCTCACATTCCGTTAAGCCAAAAGTATAAAAGAGTGAAATTAATATCGATTGTCATCAGTTAGTGTATTTCTGGTATATTTCCAACTTGTACGACTCTCGAGTGATTCTAACGAGCAAGTATGAAAAGCGCCATAGCATTATGCCTTTTGGCTGTAATTTGCACCGTAAGTCTCTTTCGTCTTTTGAAAAATAATTTGTGATAGATACGATCTTGTCTTCGCAACATATAGTTTAAGATGTAACATTAAGTATACGTTATAAAAAGAGAATACAACTAAAAGAAATTGTAAAAACGGATATCTGTCGAGAGAAAATAAACTTGAAATTGATGATCAAAATGTCTTCCTCGAACGAGTAAAGTTCCCGTTTTATCATTTTTTATCGATATACAAATACTGCCATCGATTAAACTCGCGTACGGTAATTGGCAATGCTGGTACCAAAAATGTACGTTTGTTCAAAATAACTTATTTATAATACTTTTATTCTCGACCCTAGGCCGATGCAACCTTTATAGAAATTTTGCTACGTCAAATACGGAATACAGTACAGTCCGTGGAAAGTACCATAAAAGAACTCGAACGCACTCACGATGATACCGAGCAGAACGTAAAACTGACGGTCATGAAGAAATGGATACAAAAAATGGATGCGTATAGCAAATACGCCGATCCGATACTTGAGACGATACGCGTGAGTATTTATTCATACTGATTTGTAATTAGAAACCGTTCGTTTTAAACTCTTCGCTTTTCACAAATCAGAAGCGTGTTCAAATTTATTAAAAGATGTGTGAATCCACCATCTCGAATTATCAAGCGACATTTTTCGGCACTTGCGACACACACTTTTAATAATAACAAAACACGACATTTGATGTCGATGGTGATTGAAATGATATAAATAAAAAACATATTACGTTGGCTTAATCGCCGCTGGTTTCTTTATTTTAGAAAGAGGTGGAAGAGGCCAAAGCGAAGGGCAAGGATGCTCAACCGTGTTACGATGCTGCTCATAATATTCTTAAAAGTAACGACTACAACGCTATGTACTACGCCCGGCAATGTCAAGAATGCGCAGGAAATGCCATTAAGGACAACCTTAGTTTTATCGATAATCTTATCGCGGTAAATATCCGTAATTGTAATTGTATATCAACTATTCTCTACCGATTGATTGATTAATTTTTTTATAGACTGGACGCGAGCTAATAGAAAAATTGAAGAAAATCTTCCCGGACTGTTACGAACAACATTCGAGTCTTTGGGACATTATCAAGTTGCACAGTTGCATCAACAATCAGCTTGGAATAAGCAAAGTTAGCGTGAAAAATTTAAAGACTGATGCCAGTTCCGCTAAATCTACCGCTAATTCCGCATCCAATGTCGTCCTTCAGCAGGCTACTGCTTGTCTGAACGACGTTTATTCGACTGCGCATTCGGAGGTCGCGGAGGCCAGGTCGGCGGCTACCAGGTGTCTCAATAACCTCGGGAATGCAGTGTAGAGAGAAGGACATTTATCTTTACCTATGCTGTGTTCTTCGTCAAAGATATATTTTACAAGACCGATTTTGCAGAAATTTCTAATATAGTTACATCTACTTCTGTTTTCTTGTCACAAATCTACGGAATTTAATCTTTTCCGTCAACTATAATATTCTGTTGAAATAAATCATTGTTGCATATACAATATTGTATATTTCACATTTTCTTTGTCAAAACGCGATATATACTATTATAACATTATCGATCGTTAAAGATGTCAGCGGCGACATAAAGGTATTCAATTATTGCTTTAGTAAGTCGGCGATTAAATTACGTAATACTTTTTCAGCGAAAAGATATGTTTGTACGGTTTGAAACATCTGTCTACACTTCTTAACATCTGTCTTATTGTTAGAGTTCAAATGAGGAGATACGTCATAACCCAGTGAGAAATGATTCGTCGATCGACGTCAATTCGACGGTGTCGACGTCGTTTCGACGTCGATCGACGAATCATTTCTCACTGGGAACTGTAAAATGTCATTGTATCTGGTTGATCTAGAAATGATAAATCACTCGTGTTTCGCCAATTTCCTTTGGCTCACATTTCAAATAATAAGCCGAGACAAAATTAACAAGTCCTTCGATATGCAATCTCGATAAAAGGATAAAGACCGATAAAAGATAAACGTTTTATTGATGCGAAAATTTTTATATCGATTATTTTGATTACGATCATACATAAAACTGTTTTTGCATTCATTATCTTTGCGATCGTAATTAAGTCAATCATTATTAATTTCTGTATCTATTACGCACTACCCAGCGGGAAATGACTCGTCAATCGATGTCGAAACGATGTTGAATCGACATCGGTACCGTCAAATTGATGTCGAATCATTTCTCACTAGATAATGAATGCATTTTAATTTTTATCCTTTAATCGTGATTTCCTCTTTTATTGATTTACTTTTGCGCTTCTCCTCGAGAAAGCAATTCAGGTAGATATTAAATTTAATTATAATAAGTTTGTATTGTAATGCAGCGATTTTCGTAAGTATTATAAAGCACCATTTATGATCACAGCGTGGAGAATTTCTCACAACTTTTATTTTTACTAGTGATATTGTGAAGTAAGTATGTAAATCCAACATTAAAGATAATATTTTCAAAATAAAATGGTTTATGTTGAAAAATTCTGATTTACAATACGCATAATAATCTATTTCTTCATGTTATATCATTCAAAATAGATATCTTACGTATTGCGCGATAAAAATTTAAAATATCATTAGAAATTGCGGCGAGTAATCTTCTGAGATAAGCATAGTTCTACGTGAAAAAATGTATAAGTATATATGTATATGTGGTAACAAAGTAAGGCATAGCGTACGTATATCACGAGATAAAGAATGAAGGCAGATGTTCTCAGTGAAAATTATTAACGACGAAATTCTTAGTACACTTTATCATAATCAAACATGTTCTATTTGTTCCGGGATTACCGGAATTTCATGCTACTGTGGGGAATCCACACGAGACTGCACGTATACGGGTAGATGTCGCAAATATTTTGCTTCGTCGGATTCCCCTCTTTTATTCGAACTGATACAAGTTAATGCCTGTGGGTTATTCATCTACAGTATATACATATACATTCATATATAAGAGAGTGCGATTAACTTGCTTCAGTCTGTTAGCGGGCTTTTTCGAACCACTCCCGGAGTGACACCAATAAACATGAGGACCGCTGTAGCGTTGTGTCTTTTAGTGACTTTTTGTACTGTAAGTTATTTCAGGAATAATCTACGATATAACACTTTCGAATTTTTTTCGTTCAAAGGATGTTCGTTTCAAAATTTACTTAAAAGAATTAATGATTGAATTCTAAGAATTTCATTTTTCCATGTAAAACTTACACACACATACAACTTTTTGCCAAGCTCTACGTAATACTCTCGTCAAGAAAATTTAGTTGTGAATTTAGTACACGAAGATTACAAGAATATCCGCTTCTTGAAAATAATCAAGTTTGTTAGAAAAATGTTTCGTTCAGGCCTATGCTAATCCGCTGGACGTACTGAGAATTGGCGTGCAAAGATCGAAAGGTCAAGTGCAGGATAATATACAACAACTGGACCGTCTTCGCAATAACGTCGCGCAGGACACAATTTTCAAAATAAAAAATAATTGGATAGAACAAATGCGAAGACACAACGATTATAGCAATCCAACAATTGATGCGATACGTGTGAGTAATCAATCCGTCAATCGAGGTACACTAATTAATGTTATTAGAAAAATCGAATGAGTTCTCGATTACAGCTTTTTCGAGTTCGTTTTAATTACTTTTCGTCCAAGTCCCCAATATTTATTTCAACAACGCGATATATGCCACGTTTAGTGTAATTACAAAACATGACGTTTTATGGAATATACACTGTCCTATTATCTTTTAATTTATTCATTATCGGTTGGTGTATTTGTCAGAAAGAAGTGGATGCCGCGAAGGGAGAGGACAAGAATGCGCAGCCGTGTTACGATACCGCTTCTAATACTTTGAGAAACATTTGGAACACAGCGTCAAGCGATGCTCAACGATGCGTCGACACTGCTGAAAGCTCCATCAAGAGCGAACTTGGTTTTGTTGACAATCTTATCTCGGTAGAGTCTCACAATTATTATCGCGCATTACTCAGGTTTGCGCTGAGTGATTAAAGATGTTACTTCCTTTACAGACCGGACGTACGCTGATGGTAGAATTGGACGGCATCTTCCTGAATTGCTTCGGTAATGATATTTTCCAAGTGCAGAGATGCGTTGCCCTCAAGCTGGGAACAGCCAACGTCAATGCGAGAGACTTGCAGAGCAAAGCAAATTCCGCCAAATTCACCGCCACGTCTGCGTCCAACAATATCGTTCTGCAGGGGAATAACTGTGTGTACAATGTTTACTCGCCCGCGTTCTCGCAGATCACGGAGCTCAGATTGGCCGCTACCAGATGTCTCAAGGCTTTGTAAGCCATGCGTCCAGTTTTTACCGATAGACTCTTTTATATTTATTCCTTAAAGATATATTGTTTTCGAGAGGAATCATTAATTATGCCCAAGATACCGATTTCTGGTCCAAAAAATTCTAGTGTTACACGCACATAGCACCATGCATACTTTTTATGATACCCGAGGAAAAATAATTGCAAATTTGCTTGGTGGCACAATCAGCTTGCAAACGTTCTTCGTGACGCGTGCATTTTGCAAAATTAGCTTCGTGAATGTTGGCGATATTAGCCACAATAACTTTCATCTTATCTGCCTGTTTATGGGAGTTACTACTTTTTCTACAAAATATGTAAAATATCTGACTAAAATAAACGATTGGTTCATCAATGTTTGTGGAAGCGAGCACGAGTCAAACACAAGTGTCATAATTTTAATCGTCTACTTGTTAATACAATTTGTACCCGTGCACGTTAAAAATTACCAAATTCCTGACGGAAATGTTTCACAATCCTGAGATCGTTGATTTGTAACGTGTGATGTCTGTTCGATTTAAATTGACTTTTGCTTCACGATTACAATCAACTGATTACTGTTAATAAGCCCCTTTAATTACTAAATATTCTACTAACAATAAGAGATTGAATAAATTTAATCTGATTCACATTTCCAAGTGGAACGAATAAACAAGTGGATAAGAAAGAGTGAATGAAATTGTTTCACGAGAGATATTGTAAGTTAATCTTTCTTTCTCACATACACACGTATAGTGTCTTCCACTTCAATGTTCTCAGTAGAGCACTTGTGAGAAAATCTCTTTTAAGAGATTTACGATTTTATTTTCCTTATTGATACCGATAAAGGCATATCTTACTCTATACACGTAAGAGATAAGATTAATCGCCTATTTCAAAGTGATTACGATTTTTTTACATGCAATTCTATTCTTATCAAACAGATGCAAATGTGTTCGTCATTAATTTACGTTAAATATTTTTATATTAACAATGCATTATTAATGTTTTATGAAAGCTACGAGGCACTGAGCAGTATCTGCGGTTCAATAGATTTTATGCCAGATTTTTTCGTCCATCATTTTGAAATGCCGTTTTTTACGAAACATTCGCAATTTATTCTTCAATTATAAAGATCACTTTTAGTCGTATTCGTATCGTATACACGTTAAAAAAACTTGACACATCTTTTTAAGCTGGCGAAAGTCGAATTATGCGCAATTGTCCTAACAGCACAATATATTGGGACATAATGTAAATCTAGTATTCCTAATATTGGTCCAATATTGTAAGATGGACGCCTTTTCTTATTCAGCCAACCCGGTGAAAAACGACTCAACGACATCGATCGACAAATCATTTCTCACTAGGAATATATCTTTTTGTTTTAGCAATATTGGTCTAATATTGCATCAATATTACATTGTTAACAGTGTATGTTACAATACACAAAAAATTTCAATAATTGCAACACCATTGCAACAGCATATTCCTGAGCATAATTCAAGTAAAAAAAGTCCTGTACTACTTTTCCCTCCGATAGTTATCGAGATATCATAAGCTAAACATTGAAAAAGTTATAAATTTTCTCTTGAATATCTCAACAAGTATTAGGCAAATTAAAAAATGTTTCGAACAAAAGTTGTTCATATTAATTAGTAGAATAAGATTACAGTATAATAAGAGCGGCCACGCCGGCGTTATATTATACTTGATACCGTTTTCACTCGGCTGATTCCAACGCCTTACGCCCATTTTCATTTTTAGAACTATTTCGCTACACCCATTTTCAAGCACTGCCGATAAAGTCTCTACTTGGTGCGTGTTCGTGCCATTTTTCAAGCGGGTAATGCAGTGCCCAATTTTGGTTATATTCCATGCTGCATGCATGAAATGTCGATAACACGAGAGCGTTATTGGTTTTTCGTAACAGTAGCGAGCGAGAAGGTATAAGAGCGAGCGAGATGGCAATAAAAACGAGCAAGACAGTAATAGGAGCGAGCGAGATAAGATAACACATGCTAGAGACCCTAGAAGATAGAGACTGGACAACTGGCGGAAGTGTCCACAAAATGGCCGTCAGTGCCGCGATTTAATTGAATCTTGTGCTGCTGTGTCGTGTAAGTAATATGATTTTTTTCATTTAGAGATTGTGTGTAAATGAAAAAAATCATATTACTTACACAACACAGC